GTCTTCAACTGACACAGCCCCGTCGGTGTTCCTCTTCTCTCACCTTTCTCAGCTGGACACGGGCCTGCTGTCCGACTGCCTTCCCGAGCTCACCAGGATGGCGCGCAAGTTCACCCACATCTCCACGCTGCTGCAGTACCTGCACCTGTCGCTCACGTGCATGTGCGAGGCCTGGGAGGAAATCCTCATGCAGATGGACCTCCGACTCACCAAGTTTGTGCAGGTCGGCTCAGGGCTTCGGTCCTTTCCGTGTGCCCTTTTGCCGCATAACGAGCTCCTGTTGTTATTGTTATTATTATTTATTTTTTTAACTTTAGGAAAAGAACACAAGCACACAGGTGCAAGACGAGTTCCTGGAGCTTCTTCTGTGGGGGCAGTCGAGGTGAGGGCACTTAAGTTCCTTCTTGTAGTACACTTAAGTGTTGTATAGGTGGAAAGCTAACTTGGTATTACTACTTTCCAGTCCTGAACTGCAGGCTCTTCTCATGAACCAGCTGACGGTCAAGGTGAGTGCAAGAGGTTTGCACGTAATGCTTGTTAGATTTGTGTCTTTAAAGATCATCTTTTTGTCTGACCCAAATTTGTACAGAAGTGTAATTTATGAATTCATTTTTTGGGGAGGTGGGGGGAAGAGGTCTAATTTATTTTCCAGTTTTGTCAGATTTTCGTCAGTTGTGAGATTTTGTTGATTTTCTGGGTCAAAATTTCTTTCATGAATTGTCTAGGTTATTTATTTATTTTTGGTCTTTTTTTGCGAGATATTTGTCATTTCTGGTCAGTAATTCTTTTGTCCAAACAAAAATGCTATAGTCGTTCACTAAACTATTGCTGATTTTTTTTTTTTGTGGTCATTTTGCCACGTAATTTTAATTTTGGACTAGGCAATTACAGTAGGACAAAAAAAAAAGATCTAGAGAAGAAGCTGCAAAAATAAAAAATCGTCCTGACTGGGTAGACTCACTGATGCAGCCCAATTAGCCAAATTTCCAAATACTCAAAGTGCAACTTGAGACTTTTTTTGGTGCGTCTTGTTACACGACATGTGTTTGTTTTTTTTTTCCCTCCCGTTTCCATTGCAGGGTCTGAAGAAGCTGGGCCAGACCATCGAGTCCTCTTACTCCAGCATCCAGAAGCTGGTGATCAGCCACCTGCAGAGGTAAGAGCGTCTCTCCTCAGTGTCCTTTTCCCGTTTGAGCGCATCCGGCAAAACCCTCGCTTGTTTGTCCGGCAGCGGCTCCGAGGCGCTGCTCTACCACCTGAGCGAGGTGAAAGGCATGTCGCTGTGGAAGAAGAAGTTCGAGCCCCTCGGCCTGGATTCGGCCGCCATAGAAGGTTAGCGTGCCACGCTCGCGCGGCAGCAAGTGAGCGGGAAATCTGTCATGCGGTTTGAATTCATTTTTAATCAGGCGCCATCACGGCGGTGGGCTCCTTTTCCTTAAAGACCAGCGAACTCCTGCAGTAAGTTCCTTGGCTAGTTTCGCAATAATCTCGTTTGAAACTCTAAACTTTGATCCGTGATTGATTTTTTTTGTTTTTGTTTTTTGTGACATGCAGGGTGATCGACAAGAGCATGAAGAACTTTAAAGCCTTTTTCCGTTGGCTGTATGTGGGTATGTAGGTTTTTGACTTTCTTTGTATCCAATATTCACCCTGGGAAGGTATGTGAAGTACAATGGTGCTTTGTGGTACAAGTGATCTGAATTATGAGTTTTTTGACATCCGATTTATTTATTTATTTATTTTTGGTCGCCTTTCTCGGTTGAAGTTTACTCTCAAACAACACATAAAACAAAGGAAATGAACACTTTGGATATTAAAACATCCACATAGTCACTTATGTCCACGAGCCTATTGCTAACACATCATGGGAAATGCCACAGACGGGCGAACGGATGGCATCTACTTTGTGGCGTTTATAACCCTTCCAGGAACAGATATTTGAACACAAACAGTGGAGCAACACATGCAGACAAATAATTTTTTTCGAGGCGTAATTGATTTATCCTCTTCGAAGAATGACTCACCTCCATGGAGATCTGTATGTCTGTATTATACTGCCCCCAGGTGGCCAAATAACGTGCACTACAAGAAGCGGCACAATGTCCATTCAATTGAAGCGGATAGTATGACAGAAGCAGTTTTATTCTTCATGTTTTCTTGAAATAAGTCATTATGGTGTGTGTGTATAGTATTAAAGTGCAATTTTTCTTTTTAAAAATAATTGTTTTGGGGGGCGGGGGTGACGGGTACAGATGAATGGCATTTCCAGTATTTTTTTATTCCCTTATTATTTTTTGTTTTAACACTAAATTTATTCTTTCTCTCGGGAGCGATGCTAAGAATGTGCGACGAGCACGTCCCTCCAGAACTCAACAAGATGACACAGAAGGACATCGCCTTTGTCGCCGATTTCCTCTCGGAGCATTTCAGCAAGGTACAAGAGGGGGGAAAAAAAAAAACATTCTGGAGATTCACATTCAAGTCTTAACGTTCTCTCCACTCCACAGAACGAACAGCTCTTTGATCGCAAAGGGAAGTACTTCAATGTAGAGCGAGTGGGTCAGGTAAGCAGCTTTGTTGTCAAGATCGCTTGGTATGAGGACAAAATAGCCCCAAACAAACTTTCTTCAGTATTTTCTGCAGTGGAAAATGTGCTCAGCAATTGCTTGGTTCATTTGTAGTACCTGAAGGACGAGGACGAGGACCTCGTATCTCCACCCAGTACCAAAGGCAACCAGTGGCTCAAGTTTTTACAGGACAGCGCACACCTGAAGGGTGATTTTTCAAATTATTGTTTGCACACTTTTTTTTGTTATCCCATTTGCAAAATGCTCAGGTTGTGGGTTTTTTTTTTTTTTTTTTCCCCCTCCTTCAGAGAGCCCGCTGCTCTTTCCTTCCTTTCCCCAAAAGTCTTTGCATTTTGTTAAGCGGATGATGGAGAATGTGATCGAGCTGTGCCTGCAGAAACCTGCGGTAAGACTATGAACTGATTTTTTTTTTTTTTTCCTCTCTCTCCGGTGCAAGTGGATTGTGGGATTTTTCAACAAAATGAGAATGCTCATGTGATGCTTTTTTTTTTCTTTTTTTTTTTTTTTTGCGCAGCAAGTTATTGGGAAGTCTGTGAAGCAGTCCGCCTTTCTGCCCCTGTATTCAGCACCACAACGGTAGGCCGTCTTGCCTCTGTGTTGACGGTGCCTTATTCCAAAAACCATTTATGATTGCATTTCTAAATTTTGGTCTTTTTTTTTTTTTTTTTTAAACCCTCCAGCTCTGAAAACGCACCGCGACTTTTTGAGCTTCCATCCTTGTAAGTAAAATGAGACAAGTGACCTTACTTGTTCAGTGCATTCATAATTTCACAATATTTTTTAATTAAATTAAAATTGTATTTCTTCGATATATATTTTTACCTCCTCGATCAATCACACGTAATGAAGACATTGCTGTGTGTGTGTGTGTGTGTGTGTGTGTGTGTGTGTGTGTGTGTGTGTGTGTGTGTGTGTGTGTGTGTGTTCGTTCCACAGGTGGAATGACAAGAAGGCCAAAATGCACTATGTGGTGTTCTGCATGCCCCACATTTTTCCGCACCAACTGTACTTGCTGCGCAAAGCAAGTGACCCAAACAGGTGGCGTTTTTATTTTCCGGCATTTTCCAAGATTCCCAACTTATTTATTTATTTATTTGCTTTCTGTTACGGCCTGCTGATTGATTGATTTTATTCCTTGGGCTGTTTGACAAACGGACAATTACATAATGACAAAAATTCGCAAGGAGCTACTGAGGGTCACAACTTTTACCCAGGCGCTTATGAAGACTAACCGGCCAAGTTGGGCCAACCGGGCTTCAGTTTGTGATGTCTCACACGAGGCTCTTCAAGGCAAACATACACCGCTGCAGTAGTTTGGGGTGATTTTTCGGCTTGTCCCGACAGCAATTGCACGTTATAAAACTAGTTTCATACTTAAACGCAATGAGCTTACTCGCTCTACAGCTGCTGTTGTCCACAGCTCACGCCCGGACACTCACATGCAGACTTGCCAACGTCACATCCCACATCGTCATGCCCCGCCTCTTTAAGACGCATATTTAATACAGAGACTACTACTACAATATGCACAGTATATCTTTTTGGGGGGGGGGGTGGGGGGTGAGTATGAAGTTCTTTATTTATTCTTTATTCTTACTCACATAAGCGTTTTTGGCAGACATATCCCGAACTGTGTCACGTCCCTCGACTTGAGTCACCATCTCGACGCCTCAGACGGCGAGAGCGCAGAGCCCCGGTGAGTGAGGTGGTACCCGGATCCAACGAGGGGGGCTGCCATTTATTCGATTGACATCCTCTGTGGTCTTTTCCAGGCCGCGCAGCGTCTACGGTTGCCTGGATGCTCGTTTCTATAGCGACGAGATGCTGACTGTGGTCCTTCAGGGGACAGAAGACGAAAACAGTCGCAGCGTCCTGGCCCAGGTTTCTCTCTCTTCGACCCTAAAGTGTGAGATTGAATTCAACTGGACGCCCAATATGAGGTGCGTTGCCTCTTTAATGCAGCGATTGAGTGAAATTTCTCCACCAGCACCTCACAGAAAAGCTGCCGTTGATCCACCTTTACACAGAAAAAGGCGGGTTATTACCGCAACTGCCCTTTCACATACTGTAGCAACAAACACAATACCACTTTTGCCATTAAATTACGTATACTTTTTTTTTTTTAGAAAGAGAATAATCTAGTGTGATATACAGTGGTACCCTTAGTTTAAAACATTTGAGAACCACTGCGTTAAAGGCCACAAACAGACGAGGGTAGACCGTTCCAACTTTCAATCCGGCTCAAGGCACCAACCTTCAAATGGTTTCTATTCTCATACTTTCTTAGCTGCCCCCACACAGGGTCCGCCTAGTCCATGTGACAGTGTGTGACTCTATGACCTAAACTGGTTTCAACTGTTAAGTGTGCAAGGGTGCAGAGAGATAGCTCAAGTCACCTATCAGCTTGCCAAAGAGGCCCAATTTAACAGACCCTTGAGTTCACCATATTACCATTGCTCAATGATTTCCCACTTGTACCTTTAGGTTGGACCAGCAGAGCAGCAGCATTCCCTGCCAAGGCCTGGTGCTGGGAAATCAATGGCGGGAACTGGAGGGCATGAAAGCCCAGTTCGTAGCAGTCAATGGCATACGAGAAGTAGCCTGCGTGGTAAGCGCCAATATCACGTGCTGTACAGTAATCCTCTAAAGATTCACAAATTCACCTATCCTCGGCTTTCGAGTGGACATGTACTCTTTCTGTAACGTCCTAAGACATCATTATTATATTGTGAATGTCAAAGCTCTAAACATGCAAGGGTTCACTGTAGTTACAGTTTAAACTCTTCATTCATTAGTTGTTGTTTAACAAAAGTGGGGGATTACTGCATACAAACCGAAGGGTGCACCTTCTGTGACCCGTCTTTCACTTTCTCCATCTCCCGCTTTGCAGCTGAGCGAAAATCTGAGACACCTCCGTGTCTTCGAGATGGACACGGAAGATGAAGACGACGAGCCGCAGAACGATAGCGCCGAGCAGGACACGCTTGACGCCACCATGACCAGCCAGGGAGATGAGAGTGCCGAGGCTGGAAATGATGAAGCGGGGAAAACCGAGGAGCACTTGGAGTTGGAGGAAACGTCTGAACTGTAGATGGGGTCGGATACAATTTACTTGGTTTTGTTACTTTTTTTTTTTCATAAAATGGGAAAATGCAGCTGTTGTCGTCATAAATTAAAGATGTATGTGCTTCTGTGTGTGACTTTTTATATTATATTTTATGTATATTATATTATGATGTGTTATATCATAATTGTTATCTGTTTTAGTTAATGCGAAAAAAATATTCGGCTCAGAAATAACGTTGACGGCAATAAACGAGTACCTCCTTAACATGGCGGCGATGTACCATCATGTAAATACGACCACCGAAGAAGAACAACCCGGAAGTTAGCACATCCAGCCAGCAGAGACAGGCAACCGTCAATATAACGTCTGTATTCCTTTGATTTTACTTGAGTTGTCGTTGTTGTATTTGTGTTGAGGAATTTGCGATAAACTCTTCTTTTTAGCCTTGGGAGGCTCTCGGTTAGCATAGTATGCTAGCTGCAAACAGTTTTGTCACCTTTTCGGGTAGGAAGCATGTTTGCGTTTGACATCGTGTGAGGGGGGGAAAAAAGTAAAGTTTCGTTTGCTGTCCGTTAATTGCATCGCCATGATTCTTTCCCATAATGCTACTCTGTTTTTTTTACACAAACCGTGACTGTAATAAGGACTTGACTAAAGTGCGTTTCCGACTTAAGGTACACATCCGGATGACGTCACTGCCGTCGTGGTCCTGTTCTTACCAAAAGTCGTGTTTGGCGTCCGATTTTTATTTGTTCTGTGATTGAGGACGTAACAGGATTCACACTTGTGTGAAATATATTTTTAGTTGAAATAAATTGAAATCATGACACCATTTTATCCCCCAAGAAACCACCGCACTCTTTTTAAGTGTTTCTAATCAACATAAAATGCTCTGCATTGTATAAAAACACAAAAGAGAATTGGAAGAAATCATGTCTTTCTGTAACATATATTGAAGCCGAAAGTTGCACACACAGAAATTTGACTTCCTCCTCCCCTTAAAAAGAAGAACAGCCACCAAAAAAAAAACAACAAAAACATGACAAAAGCTACCCATCTTTTGAATCAACTACTGTGAATGAACTTGAAGCTTGTTACTTCCCATTTCTAACCATCGCTTTGCTTTCTATGTGTCATGTGGATATCCAGCGCCTAATGATGGCAGGTCAAGGTGAGCCAGAGCCCCCCAGCATTAAAGAAGAAGAGGAGGATGTGTGGACCGGTCATGATGTGGAGCAGGAGTCTAACATGAGCAGTTTTCCTTTGACTGTTGTGCTTGTGAAGAGTGAGGACGACGTCGAAGCTCGGCCCTCGCAGCTTCTTCACAGCCCGAGTGAGGGGAAGAAAAGCAGCCGAGGATTGCAAGGAGAACGAGGTGGAGAACCCAGTGAAGGCTCACAACCAGACAGCGTCGCTCCACTGTCAGATATGGATGACGTGATGTCACACTCATCTGATGACATCACGGCTCATAGCGATGACGGCAGAGGACCTCCTGAGGAGAACAGCCAATCTAAAAAACACTTCAGCTGCTCCGAGTGTGGGAAAGCGTTTGGCGACCGGGGGATTTTGAACCGCCACATGAAACGCCACACGGGAGAGAAACCTTTCGCTTGCTCAGCGTGTGGCAAAGCCTTCAGCCGGCGGGATTGCCTGCTCTCCCACATGCGGTGTCACGCCGAAGAGAAACCCTTCAACTGCTCGGTTTGCGTGCAAACCTTCCGCCACCCGCAGAACTTGCTCTCTCACCTGAGATGTCACGTTGGCGACAAACCTTTTGGCTGCTCGCTGTGCGGCGCGAGGTTCTCTACCAAAGCACACTTGACGCGACATGCCCGGACGCACACCGGAGAGAAACGCTTCATTTGCTCTTTGTGCGACAAACGGTTCACCACAAAGGGCAATGTGTTGCTACACATGCGAACCCATACAGGGGAGAAGCCGTACTCCTGCTCCGTTTGCGCTGGGACGTTCTCCACCAAGACACACTTGACGCGGCATGCACGCACGCATACCGGAGAGAAGCCTTTCGCATGTTCGGTGTGCGACCAGAGATTTTCCCTGAAGGAGAATATGTTGACGCACCTGAAAAAACATAGCAGGGCGCCCCCGTTTGCTTGTGTCGCCTGTCAGGCCGCCTTCTCCAGCAGGAAAGATATGATCGCCCACAAGCGCATGCATGCAGGAGAGAAACCTTTCGCCTGCTCGGTGTGCGCCAAAAAGTTCTCGAGCAAGGGAAACATGATGACGCACATGAGGGGGCACACGGGGGAGAAACCTTTCACCTGCACGTTTTGCGACAAGGGCTTCACGATCAAGGGGGACTTGATGAGGCACAGGCGGACGCACACGGGCGAGAAACCGTTCAGTTGCCACGTGTGCGACAAAAGATTCACTCGGAAGTGCCATGTCAACAAACACAAATGTTCTGGTGCACACAATGACGCAAAGTGACTAGTTAAGGTGTTAAAAATATGCGTGCAACCAATATTTTTAAACGTGAGCCTCCTCCCTCAAAGAAGTCAACCAACCTGTTGTAGTACCAGGACTGACCTGTGAGAGGCAGCTTTGTACCACAAACTGGTGGAACTATGAAGAAGAAACTTTTAGGATGATGTTCTGGATAATCTTGTTAAGGCAATCGGGCCTTTGTCAACTTTTATCGTAAGGGAGGAAAAATGCTCAAGTTTGGCTTGATTGTATGTGCGCATGTACAACATGACTTTGGAACAAGCTCGGAAACTTTAGACAAGATGAGAAATGACTCTAATGGTCGCCTTCGTCTATTATGTGGAGCCAGCGCTTTGCTTTCTGTGTACTGCATACGTTGTTCTCATTAAGACTGTCACATGTGTATCGTAGTCTGGAATTTTTTTCGACCCATTCATCAATCCACCCATCTATACATTGCACTTGTTTTTCCCCCAAATAGATGTAGTTGACTTTCAGAAAATATAGGCATGCTAAATCAATGCTTCAAAAGTCCATATGAATTTCATTATTGTACAAATAAGCGTTTCTGATATGTGCAAAAACAAACATTTCTAGAGGATGGCGTCTCCGTGTTCACTGTCGTAAAATGGCGGCCGAACAACCATGCAAGGAAACTGACAGTGTTCTACCACGTGAGATACATTGACTAATGACGCGGTTCTATAGTATTCGTTCTACAAAGTAATATTAACAAATATATTTTATTTAAAGCCTAAATACTCCTCTAGATATATTTGTCCCAAACGGCGCACCGTCGATGTCGTTCATAATGACGCTTTATACGCATGCGCAGTATGGCTTGTTGGCAGATGGTTCCTGATGCAGATTGGTTCACCGCCGTTCTCAGAGCCAACGGAACATTTTTACTTTTTGTTTCATATCCTACATAAATGGTCGGATTTTAACCGGAGACGTCGTATCAAATCATCTTTGTTAAGATTGAAATAGTCGAAGCCGACTTTCCCAAATTATCATTTTCGCTGAACACAGACGACGCAGCGACGTACAACACAGCAGCACCACGAGTTTTTTTTTTTTATGCCAAAATGTGTAAAGTCGGAATCCTGAGAGAGTTAGTGAAACAGCGGCTAAATGTGGCCGTCGAAGAGATCTTCGGACTCGTCGAGAGAGCCGTCGCGGAGTACGAAGAGGAACTTTGTCGAACCAAAAAGGAGAACGAGCGACAACGTGAGCTGCTCGAGAATGTTTGCAAGCATCATCAAGCTGGACTGCCCCCTGCAGGTTTGTTGACGGGGAGAAATTTCAACTCACACGTGTTTGTTCGATATACGTGACGTGTGATCTGGGGTTGTGTAGACTTTTTATATGCACTGTGGTGGTCATCAGCAGGGAATTTGAACGACGTAAGATGCTCCAAAAAAAATGGAATTAACCGCTGCAATCTACTATCAACCCTAAACTTAACGGCTTTCACACAGGGTTTGTGTTCTTGTGTGTTATCACGCCGAACAAGCACACCCAGACTTGGCTTCCAGCGAACTGATAATTAGCCGGTTGTGAGCTACTTTCAACAAAAAGTGGTGAGGGGAATCTCAGGTGTTAAACTTCACACCCCAAAAGGAGCTTTTCCGCTGTTCCCGTTCATCCCCAAATTACACTCTGAAATATACCGTACATCAGGTCACAAAAGTGCTTGGTTAGCATTAGCATGACTTGCAACGGTGATGTTTGTTTGTCCATTGAACATTTAAGCAGGTAATGGATATTTGACAGGAGGTAAAGGGAAGATTGTTATGTATCTGGTTGGTATGTTGAGAAAGTCACATTGATAGAAGGATTCGGAAGTCAGAGGTTATAAGAAGCTGCGGGAAACAGGAACCCCTTTTTACAACGGCCATCAAAGGCGGTATTGACGGCTTATGGCAGGCAGGACGACACCTGCGGAAAGCTGATATCAGAGTGTGAAGTGTATGAAACCAGAGACCCACTTCTACACAGACACACACACACACACACACGCACACACACACACACATCTTTAAGTAGGAATCAGAGCCCTGCACTGGAGATTAAAGAAAAGAAAAGAAATCACATATATTTGCTAGAATATTGAAAGCTGTTTTTTATTTTTAATAGCAACCCTTAACTTTCACAAAAATCTGATTATTCATTTAAATGTATTGGAATTCCATGAGTCCATTCCATCGTACTTTATCTTCATATCCTGTAATGCGTAATCGATCCGATATTGTTAATTGTTAACTGTTACTACATCTTAAAACCGCTCTGCTAAAATCAACATTTTCATTTTCAAAAATGAATTGAGGGCCACTCAGAGTGTAAAATCATAACTTAATCTGAAATTTCGCAATGACATATTTCCCTTCTGTCTCGCAGACATCCAGCAGGTGTTGGTGGAGAGTCGAGCAGAGGTTCCTTGTGACTCCAAGCAGGAGCAGGAGCAGCAGCAGCAGCAAGCGGAGCCAGCGGAGCCTCCCTGCATTAAAAAGGAAGAAATGGACGAGTGGTGCAATCAGGAGGAAGCCGGCATCAACATGTTGGCGGTGAGCGGCGACCTCATGAAGAGCGAAGATGGCGCCGTACGCAGTCAAAATGCACCGGAGCCCGCGAGCACCAACTCATTTGCTCCAGTGTCCGATATGGACGAGGTGACGTCATCTGACGCCGAACGCGACGCTGCCGCCAAACCGGCGAAGGCTAAGAAGAAGTTGAAAAGTGACACGAACCATCACAACAACAACAACAAAGACTTTAAGTGCCCGCAGTGCGGGAAGACGTTCGGCCACAAGGGCAGCTTGAAAAACCACATGATCACACACCCCGGAGAGAGACCCTTCGCTTGTTCCTTTTGCGGCAAGAGATTCTCCTTGAAGCATCACATGCAGAGCCACCTGAGAATCCACACAGGGGAGAATCCCTTCTCCTGCTCAGTGTGCTCCAAAGGCTTTGCCGACAAGTACAAACTGATCACGCACACGAGAACGCACATCGCCGTTAAACCCTTCAGTTGCGACATTTGTAAGAAGAGCTTCTCCAGCAGGAAATGCCTCGCGTTGCACATCACGACGCACACGGGGGAGGGAACGAGTCCTCCGGCGGACGGCAGCTCACGAGGAGGAGACGGGCTCCCGAAAAAAAAGGCGGAGAGCAACAACAAATTCGGGAAATCGTTCATGTGCTTTGAGTGCGGCAAATCGTTCGTGCATAAGGGCAACATGAACCGGCACATGCGAATGCACACCGGGGAGAAACATTTCGCTTGCCCTGTTTGCATCAAGAGATTCCGGGACAATTCGGAAATGATCAAGCACATGATGGTGCACACGGGGGAGAAACCCTTCCCCTGCTCGATTTGCACCATGCGCTTCCGTTACAGGCCCGGCTTGATCAAGCACCTGAAAAAACACTTGGAGGAGAAGCATTTCATTTGCACGGTTTGTAGGAAGAGCTGTTCCAGTTTGGCATCGCTCATATTGCACACGAGAGAACACTCGTCCGACACCTCCAGTCAAGACCCAATCACGGAAGCGGAATCACAAGAAGTCACTAATGTCGAGGTAATGGAGCAATCTCCCGAGGCGGACGCCAAAGAACCCCCGAAGACGCACGATGACCCCAAAGACGTCGACCCTGAGCGGCTGCACTGCTTACAGTGTGCCAAAACCTTCCAGCACAGGTCTGCCTTCATTCGCCACCTGAAAACACACACGGGGGAGAGACAGTTCAGCTGCTCCCTCTGCGCCAAAGTCTTCTCCAGAAAGTCGGACATGAAGACCCACATCCGCGTGAAGCACACGGGCGAGAGGCCCTTCGCCTGTCCCGTCTGCAACAAAGGCTTCGCCACGAAGAAGTACATGACCTTGCACATGAGGAGACACAGCGGGGAGAAACCCTTCGCCTGCCTGCTGTGTCCCAACCGCTTCACCACCAAAGCGGAGACGGAGAAGCACATGAGGACGCACAAGGGGGGGATAGCCATCAAATGCGACACGTGCGGCGGACGGTTCGCCAGCGAGAAGCTGCTCGGCAATCACGCGTGCGTGCTGGCGATGACGCGTGAAGCTGCGGGACCTTAAGAAATCATTTTGACGTCGTACACAATCATTGAAATGAACATTTAATATTTGAAGGTGATATACAGCGATCTCCGCTCTTTGTGATAGATCATTGAAAACCCCATTAAATACTTATGATTGCCAACATTCATAGTTTAAAGACACAAATAGACAATCATTTATAGCTTCACAACACTTATTATTTCAAGAGACTAACATAAGAATTTAAGAACTTTAAAGTGTTGCTATTGTGTAAATAAAGTCTACCGTCAAGTAAAAGGTATCTCTATTTTTAATAAAGTCGACATTTTTTTAAGCTGTATATTTTGGAGAAGAAAATGTAGTTTATTTCGAATGATACTTTTACAAGGCTTGGTGTTATTTTACATAAATGGACCCAAATATCTCAAACTGAAAAAGGCTTTTTATTTTATTCTCGTAAAATGTCAATTTACTTATTAAAAATAGACAGCTTTAACATGACTTCAGTCCTGCAAATATCAGGTGTTCTTGAATATATTAAACTCTCATCTTATGAAATGACGAATACAGATAGATAGTCTATAGGTTGGCCGTTATCTTCAACAAAGTCATCATTCTAGTTCAATAAATTATGTGGCGCACAAAGGTCAGAGTCATTTATTTCTTCTATAATTATTAGAATTAAAAGATTATATTGGCGTCCTTTATAGTACAGTAATTGCTAAAGTGTTTGTTTTAGGTTTTTTGGTCTCGCGGGGCATGCCGTAGACCCTCCAAAGATGGCGCTCAATACACGCATGCGCAGTGTGGTTTGTTGGCGGAACTTGGTCCCGTTTTGGGTCGTTGTCATTACAAAAAAAAAAAAAGAGTCAATATTAACAGTTAGAAGCGAGTCCGCGCTATCGTGTAAAAATGTGCAAAGTCAAAATGCTGAGAACGTTGGTGAAGCAGCGACTCAACGTGGCCGTCGAAGAGATTTTCGAACTGTTTGAAAGAACCATAGCCGAGTACGAGGCGGAATTTAGTCGAGCCATAGAAAAAAACGAGCGACGACAATGCGAACCATCGGACGCTGTTCTTAAGCCTCGAGTTCCACCACACGAAGCAGGTGTGTTGATTAACACGGTAAATTATTCGCTCCCTGCACGTCCACTTACGTAGAGGGTTAAAGTTCAAATGTCACATAGATCTAAACACCAATGCTTGTTTTTTTTTTTATAGTATTAGAGAAGAGCAGCATCATTATGCAGTTAATAATTTTGGTTCATTAGAGACAAAACGGTCTTGAACCGTAAGGAATTGCTTCCATTTTTTTTTTTGCCAACCACGGAAGTCATTGTGAAACTCATTTCGTTTAAAGTGATAACTTTTCACCTTTTTCCTGGTGTGGCAGAAATACGTTTTACACTTTGTTGTCAATCAACCCCGCATGCAGGGTCATATTTATGAATAAACAACAAAAACTTTAAGCTACCTGGTGTCTTGTATGGTGCAGATGTGCAGCAGGTGTTGGTGGAAAGTCAAGAAGAGGAGCCAGCAGACCCCGCCTACATGAAAGAGGAAAAGGAAGACGTTTGGAGCAGTCAAGATCTGGAACAGCTTCAAGTGCTGGAGGAGGATCTCAACGCGGTTGCACCCACAGGTGTCAGTCTGAAGAGTGAAAAAGACAAAGGTCGGTCCTCACAGCCTCGTCACAGTCGAAAACAGAAGAACAGAGGCGGCAGAATAACAAGAGAATCCAAAGGAGACCACGCGCAACCGGGCAACGTTGCTGCGCTTCCAGACATGGATGTCATGATGTTACTCTCTTCAGACTCTGATCGCAGCGACCACCCAAAAGAACCTCCGAACACTGATAAAAAACCCAAAGGTGACATGACGCATCACGCTGACAACAAACAGTTCATCTGCTCCGAATGTGGGAAAATTTTTGTCCACAGGGGAACTTTGAACAGACACATGAGGACGCACACCGGAGAGAAGCCTTTCAGCTGCGTCGTTTGCGCCAAAAGATTCTCCACAAACTCCGATATCAAGATCCACATGCGAACACACACCGGGGAGAAACCGTTTGCGTGTTCTTTCTGTCCTCAAAGATTCCCCATCAAGTCGAACATGAAGATACACATCCGCGTCAAGCACACGGGCGAGAAACCGTTCACCTGCTCCATTTGCCCTCAGAGATTCTCTCGCAAGTCGGCCATGAAGCTCCACGTGCAGGTCAAGCACACGGGCGTCAAGCCCTTCACTTGCTCGCTCTGTCCCAAAAGGTTTTCCAGTAACAAGAACGTGATGATACATATGAGGACGCACACCGGGGAGAAGGCCTTCAGTTGCAACGTGTGCGCTCAGAGGTTCTCGTACAAGTATCAGTTGGAGAAGCACAGGTGCGCCATCATCGACGCGGATGCCATCTCCATGCATTCACACGCCTTGATGAGTTCAGAAAATGGATGAACCCATCCATCTATCTATCTCTCTCTCTATCTATCCAACTGTCTTAATGTTTGTTTACAGTATGCGCCCTGTAACTGTAGTTTTCTTTTTCCTGGTTATTTCTCAGCTGTGTTTGTCATACATTTAATAAATCTTCCTGAAAAGACTTCTGTACTGTCTTGACTATTATTTCTCCTTGTCTAGCAAGTTGCGATCTTGCTGTTCGTTTTGTTATGTTGTTTGTTATGCCTGGACAAAAATGAGACACTCGTAGCCTGATATGTGGAAATGGAAAAGATGTATTCATAATCATAGAAATTTCAAATCATTTTGAGAATAATTCTAACAAAAAATATTTGTGGTTGATTAAATTCATTTCATCTGATTTAGAGAAATGAATATGAAGCTATTTATTCAACAACCGAATTATTTTTCTTTTCTTTAAACCGAATCGTTTTTTCCTTTGATTTTATATCGCAATTGGCAAATTGTAATGCATTTCATCCCCAGAGGGGTACCGTAGATCCCCCAAAGATGGCGGCCCAATGTGCGCATGCGCAGGATGGCTTTTTGGGCGGAACTGTCTACGTGGGCGTTTTGGGTCAGCACAACCCACACAACGGCGTATTCCTATACGAAGAAAAGAAAGAGAGGCCACTTTTCGCACCCGTCACTTAAGCAGGGAACCACCGCGAGTGTATCAAAATGTGTAAAGTGAAAATTTTAAGAGCCTTGGTGGAGCAGCGACTTAACGTGGCCGTCGAAGAGATTTTCGGAATGTTCGAAAGAACCATCGCCGAGTACGAGGAAGAACTTTGCCGAACAAAAGAGGAGAACGTGCGGCAACGCGAACTTCTCGACAGTGTGTTCAACCATCAAACCGGACTGCACGCATCAGGTTTGTTTTCAAATGCACCTCACATAATCTTACAGTGTGGTTTTTAGTTTACATTTGACCGATTTGAAGTTCACCTGTCCGCCATTGCAGTCAAACGGCCACCATTTTGACTTGCTTGTTTACACTCAGCATTACGACAAAAATAGATCAATTAACAAAAGAGTCGGATGAGGAAGGGTTCATTGTCAACATGTCGGTAATTCACAAGTCAGATTACAACAATAATGCGAACAATGTTATGTGTAGATCTCTCATTTGAACTTTTATGGTTTCGTGAATGAATATGAAAACAAGTGGACTGCACTTCTTAAGTATTCAACCTGTCTAGACACCATATAACAAAAAAGAAAAAAATCAGCTCTAACTAAGACATTGCTATTCTTTCCTTGTGTTGTGCAGACGTGCAGCAGGTGTTGGTGGAGAGTCAAGATGATGATGAGGAGGAAGAAGAAGAGGAGGAGGAGGAGGTGCTCGCAAAGCTCCCCCACATTAAAGAGGAAGAGGAAGAGGAGGACGTGTGGAAGAGTCCACCCTTACCAGAGGCGGACATCACCGCGTTCACGTTGTCCGATGTCTGTGTGAAGACCGAAGATGACGACGCTCACTCCTCGCGGCATCAAAGTGAGGAGACCAGAGGTGGCGGCTCCAGTCAAACCCTGACAACAGAAGCCGGCGGAGAACACTGCGAAGATCTCTGCTCGCCAGCAAACATCATGGCGCCATTATCTGATACGGAAGACCTGATGTCACACTCTTCCGACACCGACAACAACAAAGAAGCTTCCAACTCCAAAGGTGAAAGAAAACTCTTCGTCTGCTCCGACTGCGGTAAAACGTTTGTGAACAAAAGCGTTTTGAAAAACCACATGGTCACGCACACGGGAGAAAAACCTTTTGCGTGCTCGGTTTGCGATAAGAAATTCTCCTTAAAGCATCACGTGAACAGGCACATGAGAATCCACACGGGCGAGCATCCCTATTCTTGCTCGGTTTGCGAGAAAGGATTCCGCGACAAGTTTGGCTTGAGGAGTCACATGAGCAAACACACCGGCCAGAAACCGTATTCGTGTCCAATTTGCGCCAAAGGTTTGTCTTGTAACTCGTCGCTGCGGATTCACATGAGATTACACACTGAGGAGAAACCCTTTATGTGTACCGTTTGCGGCAAGGGTTTCTCCGGTAGTTCGTCTTTCAGCGTACACCTGAGACAACACACGGGGGAGAAGCCTTTTGTCTGCCCCATTTGTAGCAAATGTTTCTCCCGTCAAGAAACACTCACCGTGCACATTAAACGTCATACTGAGGGCCAACAGTAACTGGGGACACAATGCAACTGCTAATTTGCCTGTAGTCAGAGTTGAAACCATAATTATACCACATGTACCAAACCTGTTGAGCTACATTTCTAGCGTTTAACCGGCATGGCAATTAAATCGGCCTTTTATGGCTCTTCAAACATCAGCCAAAATAATCGGTCTAATGGGTGATTGTTTTTACCTTAATGTTCTCTAACCATTTACCGCCATTGTACACTGGTCTCATTGTTTATGATACAAAAATCCATACCTTGTAACCTTGTATTCTTAATTAAATCTATGACAAGGATTATTGTCCTTCTAATTTCATTCATACCCCACCCAAGGCAATCTGGGAACCGAGAAAAGGAAAGTTGTTTATTTGAACAATTACAGTTACACTTTGGAATGAGGATCAGGCTGGCGCATGAATAGAGAACAGCCGCGTATAATTGATGCCCATTCTAGTGTATTGGGGGTATTTTTTGAATGCATTATATATTGCTTAAATTAATCAGCCAATTGATTGATAATCTGTATTTTTTTTTTCTGCCAAAAATCGGCATCTGCATTAAAAAAAAAAAAAATCCATATCGGTCAGGCCTTAATGATTTCATTTGTATATGCATAGAAGTCTCACCGGTACACCCAGGCTAAACTTAGCTTCTTTCCGGCACTTCATCCGACGTTGTGGACACCTACAGTCATACCTCGGTTTTCAACCATAATCCGTTCCAGAAGGCTGTTCGAAAACCGATTTGTTCGAAAACCGAAACTACGCTCTTTAAAAAAAAAAAAAAAAATCTTTATTGGACACATCTGTTCACCATGGAACGCTAAACGAGGAAGCGTCACTTCCTCATCTACCCGAGGAATCGTCACTTCCTCGTGTAAGGAAGGCGAGAGGAGTCAAGTGACGCATTCAAGTGCGGTCAGTTTGTTCGAGAACCGAAATTCGGTCGTCATTCGAGGCATAAAAAACTCAAATTTTGGTCGAAAACCGATTTGGTCGAGAACAAAGACGTTCGAAAAACGAGGTTTGACTGTATCCCTATTTAGACAGGAGCTTTGCAGGGAATCGATGGGTGTAAGTTTAATAGAAATAAAATGCAAATAGGTGCATTTGTGACTGTTGAAGTGCAAATATGTGGGGGATTACTGTATGCTGATTAAGGAGAATTACGTTACACGTTATACACTAATTATTGATGTTATGTTCTGAAGACAACATCGACAGTAGCTGAAGCTGGAAAATTATATATCAACGTTTTTGTAAGATAATTTGTCAAAAAAATGTATCCACTGTTGACATATAATAAAACAACAGCTGTATGAACTTTTCACGTCTCTCATTTTATGTGCCTCGACTCAATTATCTTTCCTCACACAAAATACATTTGAAAAAAACAATCACTGAAAAACACTTCAATTTCTTTGTATCTCATCTTAATCAAAGAGGTTCTACAAAACAAGAAGATATGTATCTGCTACACACATCCGGTCTCGCTGTTAAATGTAAATATCTGCCGTAGGAAATGTAGTCCTTTTCCCGTGTGTCGCCTACAAGTGACGTCATATACGAGCGCCTAGGTTTCCGCCCTGCGTTAGCGCGAGCCGAGTGTTGGCGCTGATTAGCAACACCAACACCAAAACACGCGAGTCAGCTCCGCGTACAAAAATGTGTAAAGTCCGAATCCTGAGAACGTTGGTGACGCAACGGCTGAACGTGGCCGTCGAAGAGATATTTGAACTGTTTGAGAGGACCATCGCGGAGTACGAGGAGGAACTTTGTCGAAGCAAAGAGGAGAAAGAACGACAACGCCAACTCCTGGACGCTGTTCTCAATCCTCAGGTTCGACTACACAGAGCAGGTTTGGCGACCTTACTTTTGTTTGCTTTTCTTCTTCTTTTTTTTTGGGGGGGGGGATACAATTAACTGTCTCATAACGTCAGTTACGTGAAAGATTTGGTAAGGCGTGTCACACAGGGCTCAGCGTTGCTCTTTTAATCTTTTTAAAAAAAGTATTTAATATTATGACAAGCCACTTTAACATTATGCACAGTTAAAATACTTAATTGCCAATGGAAGCAGCCTGAGGAACACGCAGTTATGAGAATGTCATTTATTGTCTGTATTTCAGCACACCTTTTTGGCTGCTCACAGTTTCAGAATGGGATATTGATTGATTTATTTATTCACTTAGCTTGTTTTTAAATGAAAAGTTCAATTCATCGTTCAAGATTCTCTGAAGCCAATCTTTTGTAATATTTGTGCGCACTTCCCTTGTGTGGTGCAGACATTCAGCAGGTGTTGGTGAAGAGTCAAGAAAAGGTTGCAGGTGTTGTTGAGCAGGTCGAGCCAGTAGAGCCCACCCACATTAAAGACGAAGAGCGAGAAGCGTGGAGCAGCGGGGATGGGGAGCAGCTTCACAGGCGGGAGGAAGAAGCTAATGTTGCCCATTTCACATGGGCCGGCGGCGTCCATGTAAAGAGCGAGGAAGACAAAGATCAGTCGTCACAGCTTCAGTGCAGTCAAAGTGACGGGAACAGAGAAGCCGCTGCGAACACGCACTCACTGGAAAACAACTTCACTCCGCCATCAGACACGCCTGACATGATGTTGCCGCTGTCCGACACGTATCGCAGCGATGATGCCGAAGGACCTTCGGACTCTAAAAGCACCAAAAATCGCTTCATCTGTCCCGAATGCGGGAGAACGTTCGCCTATAAGAAGACGCTGAAAACGCACATGATCATACACACGGGGGAGAAAGATTTTGCCTGTTCATTCTGCGCTAAACGATTCTACAGAAAGTGCGACATGAAGAACCACCTGGCCACGCATACGAGCGAGAAGCCTTTCAACTGTGTGATTTGCGCCAAGGGTTTCACTCTGAGGAAGTACATGATGATACACATGAAAACGCACGCGGCCGCGTTACACGCGAGACCGCAGGTGACAACACAAGGCGACGGAAACTGCTTGAGCCGCTCAGAACGCGGCAAGACGTTCGTCGACAAGGCGACTTTGAACAGACGCGCGACGACACACGGCGGAGAGAAGTCCTTCGCCTGCTCACGTTGCCTGAAAAGTTTCAGCCGGGGTGACGACTTGAAGCTGCACATGAGCATACATTTTCGCAGGAAGACGTTCAGTTGCCATGTGTGCAATAAAAGATTCACCTATCAGAAGAACGTGATGATACACATGAGGACGCACACGGGGGAGAAGGCATTTGGTTGCGACGCATGCCGCCAGACCTTTTGTTATAAGTATCAGCTGGACAAGCACCGCTGCTTCGTAATGGATGCCGCGGCCACGTCGACGGATTCTGAAATGATGGACAAACAGTTTGATGAGTTGATGTGGGAATAATGTATCAAGGCTGTCGGGTGAAATCTTCGCATCTCCGAAATGACTTCTCGATCAATTTTTTGGATGCTGCCGATACCAGTCACTGATACTAAAGACATAAAAAAAAAAATCTCACAAGTACTAAGTCTTTTTTTGGCAGTATTTGGCACTACACTGCGGCAATTTGACACATGGGCGAATCCTCATCTGTGTCAGAAAGAATTTTTTTTGTTCACAACTTTTCTTTTTTTTTCCCCGCACATTGTTTCCAGTTAAGTTTACGTATTTAAAAATAAAATGCATGGGCATGACCAATAAGCATTCCTAACAGCATAGCATCTTAACACAATGAATATGAAGCTCCATTGACTCAAGTTTGTTGTTATTAAAAGGTCCTTGTGCCTATTTGTGCTTGAGCAGTTTCCCATTTGTGTGAGTTGCCTTTTGTTTCGGTTTTGCTTGTTTGCTTCAAGGTACTTTTAGTTTCCACGAATTTTCTTTCATCCGGTTCAAGGGTGAGCTGGAGCCGACGTACCCAAGCTGAATTTGGGTGAGACGCTGCCACAATTTTACCTTCTTAATTTTGTCCTTTTTTTTTTCTTCAAGAATGAGGCATGATTACCCCACTTTAAATTTTTTAAAGTATATAAAAACGGATAGTTTTTTTGAATTTCACACAATTATTTTTTTTTCATATTGTACATTATAAATACAATTAAAAATGACTATTTTTTAAAATTAAAATTAACTATTTATACTTGTATTTTTACATTTAAAAAACATATTCAAAAGACTTGCCCAATCCGTTCTTTAAAAAAAAAAAAACTAATAAGACTCGAGGTTTTTTTTTTGAGGGGGAGGGTGATTCCTTCCCGAAAATGTTCAAAATTGACTTGGGCAAGTATGTACGGAAGCGTTTCACGTTTTCACATAATACAGTATCACGATTTGACTGTAATAATACAATATGAAATTTTATTCTGGAGCAAAACTCAACAAAACACTTAAAACGTCATAAATCTTAAAAAGAAAATGTTTTTTGAGCATGAAGGAAAATCATTCGTAGTATCCAAGCAAACCCGAAAGATGGCAGGAAAGCTACGCCGTGGATCTTCGCTGACGCCCAATCACCAGAGAAGAAGAAAAAGGCGGAAGTGCGTCCCACATCGCTCAGCAAGACGACAGCTAGCGGGATTTAGACGCGGTGGGAAAATGTGTAAAGTGAGGATGCTGCGCGAGCTGGTCAAACAGCGATTAAACGTGGCCATCGAAGAGATATTTGAACTATTTGACCAAACCTTGGCGGACTACGAGGAGGAACTTTGTCGAACCAAAGCGGAGAACGTGCGACAACGCGAACTACTGGACGCTGTTCTCAAACCTCAAGCTGGCGCACACTCAACAGGTTCACTTCAGTATTTGCACCTCGTGTGTTCAGTCGCAAACTTCCGTGTCTGTCAGTTCCTTGCAAAGTAGGCGAAGTAGCCTTTACAGTTTGCTTAAATGGCGCATTGGGACTCATTAGTGATTAGTTCCAGTCGGCCATTGCGAGCCAGCCACCATTTTGACAGCATCGGAAAGTGTGTGCTCATTTTTGACAGAGACGTGCGAAATGTGACGTCACCCACATCCAGGGACGTGCCTACATTTTGAAAGTTACACGAAACCAACATTGTCAGACAGATCGTTTAAAGATGTAAGCGTCATTATTTCAAATCAATTTGAAAGAATGATTTATTAAGCAATCCCAGTCACTACGTGAAACAAGAGGTACATCCTGGAATAACAAAAATCATAATTTGGAAAATACAATAAATGTTTGTTTCCTACAGAAAAAGACATGGGTGCCTCCTTTCAGGAAAGTAATGTAACATACAAATGTAAAGTAATATGATTGTAGTAAAAGCCGAATAATGACTGCACGAGGCACATTATTTTATTAAACACACAAATAAAAAAGACCAGGCAATGACCCGTAATTGGTAAACCTCCTAATTTGAGGCCCTTGTAATTCAAGACACTGTTGTATTGATTTTTTTTTTAGACTGTTTCAGTAGTCCAGTTGGGAAGTGACGAGTGAGAAAACACTCACATCTAATCTGTGTCTCTTGTTCTCTTCAGACATCCAGCAAGTGTTGGTCAAGAGTCAAGAAGAGACTCCCGCCTTGCGGCGGGAGTGGCGTTCCACGGCAGAGGAGCCTTCAGAGCCCCCTCGCATTAAGGAGGAAGCGTGGAGCTGTCGGGATGGGGAAGAGCTTCAAAAGCCAGAGGAGGACCAGGCTGACGTCACCGCCTTCATGTTGACTGGCGGCATGCATGTGAAAAGTGAAGACGATGGTGCCGAAGCTCAGCAGCAGCATCATCGTGGTCAAAGTGAGCAGAACACAAAAGCTGACGCTCCCCTGTCAGATATGGACGACGTAATGTCACACTCGTCTGACACGGACCACAGCGAGCGCGCCAAGGAAGCTTTGGATAAGAATTCCCAAGGCAGTCCAAGACATCACGAGGACAACAAACAGTTCAAGTGCTCCGAATGCGGCAAAAGATTCGCACACAAAGGAAGCTTAAAAATCCACATGATCACCCACACGGGAGAGAAACATTTTGCTTGCTCTTTTTGTGCCAAAACCTTCTACTTGAAGCATCACATGAACCGACACATGCAAATCCACACGGGGGAGCACCCCTACTCCTGCTCAGTTTGCGCTAAAGGCTTCCGAGATAAGTACAAACTCATCAACCACATGAGGACGCATGTGGCTGAGAAACCTTTTGCTTGCTCGCAATGTATGAAACGATTCTTCAGTCGGGAATGTCTGGCTTTGCACGTGGCGACACACGTGGAGGAAAACGCAAAAGCCGGAGGCAGCTCCAGTCAGGTTCAGTCACAAGTAGTGAGCAACTTTGCTCCGCTTTCGGATGTGGACGACGACGATGACGACGCAATGTCTCGGTCTTCTGATACGGATCACAGCGACGACGCCAAAGAGGCGGATAAGAGGCCCGACGGGGACGGTGACAATAGTAACTTCATCTGCTCCAAATGTGGGAAAACCTTTTACCACAAGGGACATTTGAACAGACACATGATCACGCACACCGGGGAGAAACCTTTCGGCTGTTCATTCTGCGCCAAATGCTTCACCCGCAAGTCCGATCTGAAAGTGCACGTACAGGTTAAGCACACTGGCGACAAACCTTTCAAATGTACCGTCTGCGCCAAAACCTTCCCCGTCAAGAGATATTTGATCACGCACATGAGAAAGCACAACGCCGACCTCCCGTTTAGCTGCTCGGCGTGCGGCAAGGGTTTCTCCGCCAAAGAGGAATTGGAAACGCACATCGCCACGGACGCCGAATGCGGGGGATCGCAAGGTGACGACGCGACGCCGCACTCTTCGGAAACGGACCACAAAAAGAACCCCAAAGGCGACGCCGCGCAGCACACGGGCTTCATCTGCTCCGAATGCGGCAAGTCTTTCGTCCAGAAGGCCACCTTGAACCGCCACATGCGAATCCACACCGGGGAGAAACCTTTCGGCTGCACCGTTTGCGGCAAACGCTTCTCCCGCAACGGCGACTTGACCATCCACATGAGAACGCACTCGGTGGAAAAGCCCTTCAACTGCACGCTGTGCAGCGAGTCCTTCTCCCTCAAGCACTACCTGAGCGTGCACATGAAGCGCCACTTTGCCGACAAGCCTTTCGCTTGCTCCGTCTGCGCCAAACGCTTCAACACCAAGGCGCACCTGAAGACGCACATGAAGCGACACACGGGCGAGAAACCCTTCAGCTGCGAGGTGTGCGGCCGCTGCTTCTTCTGCAAGCGGGATGTCAGGACGCACATGAGGACGCACACCGGGGAGAAACCCTTCACCTGCCCCGTGTGCAATAAAGGCTTCTCCACCAAGACTTACGTCTCCATGCACATGAGGACACACACCGGCGAGAGGCTCTTCAGCTGCGACGCCTGTCATAAAAGATTCACTTTCAAGACACAAGTCTACAGTCACGTGTGTACCGGATACGAAACCAGCAATAACGGCACCGCAGGACTTTAAACAGCGCGCCAGACCACCTGTCGACTTGTTTCAAGTCCTGTCGTGTTTTGTATAAATCTGTTCAACATGCTGGTAGCACAATGACTTACTGATAGTCCCATCTGACTTTGGGTGAAAGATGGTCTACATCCTGGACTGATTTTCCATCCTGACAAGACAGAATTCAAACCCAACCTGACAAAAAGGAGAATAGTAGCTAAAAATGTTTTTAAAAATTAAGGCAAATACAAATATGACAAAATTGCTCTAAAAATGACAAACGGAGAAAAGAAAAGACTAAAAGAAGCTATTTAGAAGATAGGAGACCAAATTTCCCAAAAAGTAACAAAACAACAAAAAAAGATTAAAAATTGAACAAAAATGACAAAAACGAATACAAATTGGAACAAAAACATTTTTTTAATAAGCAGACACTAAATACAAATATCCGACAAGTCCAGTCAAAACTACCCAATAATGGAAAAAAAGGCAACATACCTCAGACAGGAAAACACATAAAATTGCAATTTTAAAATGGGCAGATAAAAACCTAACAAAATGCGCCAATTATTGACTCAAGGGTTGGGAATTCGCAGCTCTAAATAGACGTACATATAATCAGCGTGAATTCAGTGCTTCTCTCCACCGTACATGGATGTGTTGGGAATTCGCAGCTCTAAATAGACGTACATATAGTAGGCCCTGCGACAAGTCCAGGATGTAGCCTGCACCCCAAACGAGAAGTACAGTGGAAAACGGATAGATGAACTAATTAAAGGTGATTTTACACTTAATTTCTATTTATACTTGTCCGAGTGTTAGGATGTAATTGAAAACATTGCCCGAACAGATGTTTTATGATGCTCACCACCTGGAACTAATTAAAGGTTTTTTTATTTTTTTTTTTTATGCAGTTATTGTGGTTAATAATGACATGTTCATCTTTTGTGTGTGTGCGTGTGTGTGTGTGGTGGGTCTGTTCAGACTTAATGGCAACAATTTTGTCCACCACTAATACGAATTAAATGTGGACAATGAAACTATTTGTTGATGAAACAAACTAAGAGCAAAAAGAGCATGCTCACAAAACACAAAAATCAAGCAAAACTTAAAACAAAAATGGACAAATTATGACCTCCACATTATTCAACGCGCACTCAAAAATGCGACTTCAGCTCAAACAAAATGTGGTTCAAAAATATCAATTGAATGTCAATTTAAAGAAAAGGAAAAAAAACAAGGACAACGATTACCCCAGTGGTGGCAGCAACGTGCTCAACCGCGTAAATTCACCACCGAAGAAGAAAAGGCGGAAGTTACCAACATTGCTGCGTTGGCTAGCTTTATCAACCCTTTGCAGCCGTGAAAATGTGCAAAGTGAGGATGCTGCGGGAGCTGGTGAAGCAGCGACTAAACGTGGCCGTCGAGGAGATCTTCCAACTCTTCGAGAGAACCATCGCGGACTACGAGGAGGAACTTTGTCGAACCAAAGAGGAGAACGAGCGACAACGCGAACTACTGGACGCGGTTCTCAAGCCACAAGTTGGAATACACGCGTCGGGTTTGTTGTCGAGTTGATTGCATCACATGTCCGATAAGAAATACACGCCGCACCGACTTTTTTGACTTCATAGTTGGTGTCGCCCCCTGTGGCCACAACTTTGGCTTGTGTGTCTGCATTGCGGTAATTTTATTGCTTTAACTGACGTCACCATCGTGACAATAAAGAAACTATTAAATTAAAAGTCTCTCTGAAGCAAATTTTCAATCGCCGTATTTTTTTTCCGGGGGGTGCTGGCGTGAATGTTTGAATGAGTTATATTTGTCTTAGGTTGTAATGTGGCAGTTTGTTTATTAAAAAAAAAAACTGCAGAAATCGGCCATTTCCTGACGATTTTACAATAGCTAATATAGGCTGATCAAATCTACATATAAGTTTAAACAGTGATTCTAAAAGGCAAAAAGCTCTATAACAGTGCCTGTATCACAGATATTTCAGCAATTGGCTGCGGGGCTGCATCCTTTCCCTGCAGGGGTGTCAAATTCATTTTTTTCACGGGCCACATTGTAGTTGCGGTTTCCCTTGGAGGGCCATTATGAATTTTGTGAAACCATACAAATGTTTGATCACCTCTACATAGTACATACACAGCGCACAACAAATTGATGGAGAATCAGTTTTAAAATTAAAAGTCAAGAATATTTACTGTTATTGTGGATTACATACGACAGTGTGAAATTTTGGTTCAGACTTTAGCAAGCATCATGGAACTTGACATGCTTGAATTGCTTTCGTGGGCCACATAAAGTGATGTGGCGGGCCAGATCTGGCCCCGGGGCCTTGAGTTTGACACCTTGTGCTTTACTGTATCGAAAGCATCACTCAAACTCAAGAGTTCAACCAAGGAGTTGCATTCCAATTTATCGTTCCCAGAATAAAAGCCCTGCCAAATGTTCATACGTGTTCCTTCCGTCCTTTAGACATCCAGCAAGTGTTGGTGGAGAGTGAAGAAGAGGTTCCCTCTGAGCAGCAGGAGGAGCCAACAGAGCCCCTTCATGTCAAAGAAGAAGACGAGGATGAGGATGAGTGGACCAGCTACGGCGTCGAGCGCGAAGACGACAGTGCGCCTCGTGGACGCGGAGAGGAGAACCGAAGCGGCATGAGCTGGGAAATTGAAGCAAAAGCAGACGTGGACGACGACATCTCCGCCTCTTCCGCCACCGAACTCATTGCCGACGCCAAAGAGCCCTC